CTTAAACAATTCACAGATTATGTAATCCTAATAATCAAATAGTTAAACGAAGTTTAAAATGGGTATATACGACCAAAATATGTTTAGTTTTTCATTAAAATGAATCAAGAAACATTAAAAATATGAAAAAAAATAATAAATAAAATACATGAAGTCCAGGCTATGGAACATAAGAACTTTCAAATTCTGGTTGAGTTCTGATACCTGAAGCTGAAGGCATTTTACTTCTCCCAATCCAAAATGTATTCAACACCTCACTTCTTTCAGATTGTCTCTCCATTTTCTTTATTTTTTCCCCGTTAATCAATTTGTATACCATAATCACAACGACAAGAAGCAAGATCATCCCCACAATTCCTCCGGTAAATCCAATCACCCTCCACTTCCAAATGCGTTCTTTCGTTGTTTTATCTGATAGTCGAGATGGAACGACAATAGAGAAATGCCCTTGTCCACGTGCCATACACGAATTTATGCCTGTTACTCTGCTTAATTCCACCGTTTCATTAGTACTAAAGCGAACACATTTCATCCCCACACTCAATGAAACATTTGGAAATCGAACCACAATCGGATTATTCCCCATGAGATTAAGCTCAACGAGTCCATAATGTGGTGAAATAGTACTCGAATCATAAGCCAACAAGCCAATCACAGAAGCAACAAAAGTATAATTCGACATGTTATAGTACAAAGTCGACCAGTTGCCTAGATTTTGATAGACTAAATCAACTCTCCTAGAAAATGGCCATGGTAATATCATTGAAGGGATATCAAAAAAACTGAAATTAGCCCCCTTCATCCATAAACTGTGAGTTCTTATACGAAGAATCGAAACTTCCATGCCCGAATAATTCGAAGGAAGTGAAATATCATTCAATTTTCCAGTACGAGACCTTGAAATATTCTTGAATGCATAATCATAAACAAACGAATTCAATGAATCCCTGCTATAAACTTTTGATCCTTGCACATCTTCCAATAAACAAGAATAACAAAACATCATTAAAATGATGTCCCAAATTCTTCGAGAACCCATCAAAGACTTACAGTATTGCCTCTTCTTCCTTTCATTCCACCTCAAAGATCTTGTGCATTAAGATCTGATTTTCAAAACTGTTAGATAGTTGGAATTGATCTTCTCAAAAAAAAAAAAAAAACCCTTTTGAGTTCTTGATTACTCAGCAATGCCACGGGATTGAATGACAGTGTTTTCCTAATTATTATGCAAGCTCATAAATTGGGATATCCTTAAAAACGAGATTGCAACAATGATTGATTCAAAATTTACACGATTTGTCGTTGTGATCCCATTGGCATTGTACAGAATTTGAAGGGATATGAACTGGAGAGACAGCAAAATAGAAGAATATATTTGGTCATGTGAGGGGTGTTTCGGTGGTTGTAGATTATATTTTATAGGATGACAGGGCGCCACCTTAACCTGGCACAACAAACTCTTTTAGTCGTACTAAGTTTGTGTTAAAAGACTTGGTGTTCCATCTTAAAAGGTCAATCTTATTAAATTGGTCTATGTTATCGTCTTTATTTTATTTGGGATAATATCCTTTAACATACCCCTGCAAGATGGTGGATCATTGAGCAAACCAATCTTGAAATTCGTGTGCTCATTTTTTGAGTTTTAATCGAATTGAATTGCATGTTAGATCTTAATGGACTCTGATACAATGTTAAGACTTGAGATTCCATTTTAAAAAGTCAACCTTATTAAAAAGAGTAGTCCAAGATCTTATAAGCTAGTCTATGTTATAGTCTTTATTCGATGTGGGATAATATGCTTTAACAGTTTGTTTAATATAGCCTATGTTGGATTTGTTATTTTATTAAATATATGTATGTATAAGAAATGATATAATAAGCACCGATTATGTTAAGCACCGATAATGTATAATGCAAATTCATGGGTGGATTTTAAACATAATTCCCATGTCGAGGCCCACAATTTGTTTATCTATTAATGGACTTATAAAACATGTCATCAATACTTAATATAAAATGAGCATCGATACTCATTATATCATTCATAAATATGTATATATGTGTTTATGAATGTGTATTTGTGTTTACGTATGTATGTATGTGTATGCATGCGTAGCATATTATAACAATATCTTAGTAGCGATTTAGATTCTTGAAAAAATGCCATGAAAATAGGCTCGTGAATACAGTTCTTAACCAATCATTACTATATGTATGTATGCACGCATGCGTGTATACAACATAATGTAACAAGATTGAGGGGATTTTTAGTTGTAAACTAGATTCTTGAATAAATGCCATAAAAGTAGGCTTTTCAATAGGCCGAGTTTAAAATCTAACCTCGACATGGTCCATCGAAGAAAATCAAGCAAAATGCAACTGAAAGCAAGGGCAATGACAGATCAATTGAAGGCGTCAAGCTCACGCAGGAGCCTCCATAAATGATGAACAATGATTGGATTTGGTGCAATCACATACACTGACAAATCGAAGTGCTTAAGCCCCTTTAAAGCAGATATAGAGGAGGTCCATTGAAGAAAAATCAACCAAATGCAGCTGAAATCAAGGGTGATGATAGATCAATTGAAGGTGTCGGGTTCACACTGGAGAAGCTCTAACTCATGTCAATGAAAGCAGAAAAAATGGATGATCATGCCCATTTGCCTATCTGACCTTCAAATTTGGTACGTTTAGGCATTAATATCGACTACTTCATCCACTTATTATTCTTATAATTATTTCTCTCCATCCAGACTGAGTTCTGACAATTTCTTATCATATTCTATTAGATTAAATTGACTCTCTAGTTAGATTGAGTTTGCGTGAACATTTGGCATGTATCACTCTCAAGTGTTGAAGATAAACACTCATCACTTACTCGATTAAGTCGATCCTACTTGTGCTGTGTTAAAAAGTGATTTTTTTCCCTTTTTTTTTTGAAAATTTTATGGTTAAATATGAGTGTGAGGAAAGATAATTATCAAATAATCACTTTCAAAAAGGACCTAGTAAAATTATCTTAATCCAATCCAGTTAGTATCATGGAATCAATTTGCTGTCAAACTTGGCGCATACCTCCAAAACTAGTTAAAAAGCGGCCAGTGTTCTTGTGGTTTAACCCTTTTTGTTCAAAAACTTTTATAAATTCTAGGACTTAAAAGGTTCAAAACAATGACGTCCAAATTGTATTGACATCCTTTTCCTATTAGGTTCCTTATATTAGTTACTTATAATCTTAGCCTACTAGTTATATTACACACAAAAAAGAAAATAATAATAATAATAATAAATAATTAAATAAATAATTTAAAAAAAATTGTAAAAATAAGAGCCTATTTGGGCCCCCATTATAATTTAAGAATGTATTTTTGAATAGTAGAATGTGGAGAATATGTGGTTAAAAAAGAAGAAAAATTTTTGTATTTGTGCGTAATATTGTTTTATTGAATAATGTGTAATTGAAAATAAGAAAGAGGAAAATATATTTTGAAAATAATGTAGATCAACCCAGGGATAAATATCTACCCAGTATTAGTTTTTAGAATTATTAATTATAATCACATATTAAGAAATATTTATTAATAAATTCTCTAATTTCAATAGCCATAATGTTGATCATGATAATATTAAAGAGAGAAAAAAAAAATCTTAATAGGACATATATCAATATCTTTTTATTTAAAATTTTATTTTGTTATATATTTTGACTCCCAATTAACAGATTGTTTGGTACAGCTTAAAAGTCAATTAAAATAAAAATTTTTACTGTTATTTTACTATTTCAATCGTCATTTTTGAAATTTTTTTCTCACAAGTAGGACCACTTTATCTCTAACGATCAAAAAATCAATTATCAAAATCTTGATCAAATAAGCACTTAATCACTTCCTTTCAATCAAATAATAAGCGCTCATTTGGCAAGACCTCTAAAAAGTCAAAAAGATTTTGAAAATTTGTCTGACTAAAAAGTTTTTAAAAGAAACTTGACATTATTTAGCTTCTTCTACAGAAATTAAAAGCTAAAGTAAAAATTCCGTTAAACAAGCTTTAAGTATAATTGAACGTGCTAAAAGCCTAAAACAGAGATGTTGAGAAAAAAAATAGATTACAAAGATAGAAAATCAACCAATAAGGAATCTCCAAATTTCCACATGTCGACAATGAAATCATTTGTGCCCTGTAAAAAAGAAAAGGAATAAGTTTGGCATAAAGATTCAACCTTACAGGCTTCTTACAGGGATAATTTAAAAATGTCTCTTGATGGCCCACTTGCTGCTAATAAAAAATAAGAAAAAACATAATGGAGGGAAATGAGATGTATCCCACATGAATACACTTTAATTCCCCCCAAAATAGCAAATGGTTGCTCGTGGTTCTCTTTTCCTTCCAAGCTTGAAATCCGGCAGAACTTCCCTGCTCCACTACCGTCCAACCAGTAGAAATATTTTCCACCTCCGGCAGATTTCGACGTGAGCTGAACGAGCGACAACGGTCCGTCATTGCACCCATTTTCTCCACCTTGAACGAGCGACATGAGCTGAACGAGAAATCCACAAATTGGGGACGGTTGCCGGAATTTCTTCTCCACCTCGAACTCTCTCTCACATCCCACATGAGCTAAACTTCCGGCAGTGCTTCAAAATGCCCAAAACCCTCCTTCCATTTGCTCGTTTTTTCACACAAGCTGTGACTTATTCTTGAGTGCACTATTGTCTGTCTTTGTGTTTGTCATTTGCCCATTTTCATATGACAATATTATTGATATTCTCGTTTAGTATTGGCAATGTGAATAAGTTTTGTGATAAATTTGTTGTAATATAAATATGTTATTACTTGGCAGCAATGTGAATAAATTTTGTGATAAATTTGTTATTACTTGGCAGCAATGTGTAGTGGGTGAATATGTATATAGAAACTGAATTTATTTTGATGTGTTTATTGTAGTATATTTGATTTATGTGACATAACGTTACCAGTTATATTATTGCAGAAAGTAAATTATGGAAGACATGGTCGATAATTCTTTGGCAAACTCTGAAAATGAGAATGTTATTGAAAATACGAATTTAGGGGAAGAAGAAGGTTTAGGAGATGGGGACTCGATTGTGCTGGAGGTGGGTATGCAGTTCAACAATGAAAAAGCAATGTTTGAGTTCTACAAAAGATATGCCTACGATGTAGGTTTTCCCATTTGGAAGAGGAATTCAAAAAAAGGAGATGATGGACTTTTAAGATATGTAACCTTTACATGTAGTCGTGAAGGTTGAAGGAGTACTAATGTCGTTGGTTCATTGAAGCCTCAACCAACGACGCAGACGGATTGTAAAGCTAGGATCTCTGCTTCTTCAGATGTTAATGGAACCTGGAGAATCAACATAGTCAATCTCGAGCACAATCATACATGCAGCCCTTCAAAGTCCAGATTTTATCGTTGCAATCGAAAATTGCCAGCACATGTGAAAAGGAAGCTTGAAGTGAATGACATGGCAGGAATACCGTTGCTTAAAAGTTTCAACTCTACAGTCGTTGAAACTAGTGGATATGAGAATTTGCCTTGTGTGGAAAAGGACTATCGAAATTATATTGAGCAAGTAAGAAGATTACTACTTGGAGAAGGTGATGCAGCCACAATACAATCTTACTTTTCCAAAATGCAAGCACGATGCCTCGGATTTTATTTCAGTATTGATTTAGATGATGAGTCGCGACTGAAAAATGTATTTTGGACTGATAATAGATGCAAACACGCATGTAGGGAGTTCGATGATGTTGTCACCTTCAACTCCACTTACCTGACTAATAAGTACGACATGCCTTTCGCTCCTTTTGTTGGAGTTAACTATCACGATCAATCTACATTGCTCGGTTGTGGTCTATTGTCGAACGAGGACACATATACATTTTTTTGGCTGTTTAAAACATGGCTTGAGTATATGCATGGTCAAGCACCCCATGGAATCGTTACAGACCAAGACAGGGCCATGCAAAATGCTATTCAGATCGTCTTTCCGAACACAATGTATAGATGGTGTTTATGACACATTTTGAAAAAATTGCCGGAGAAGTTTGGGTACCATGTTGACAAGGGAAACATATTTTCGACTATATATAGATTGGTGTATGATTCGCAGGCTGGTACAGAATTTGAAGGAGGTTGGGGATTGATGATTGATGAGTATGAGTATAAGTTGCATGATAATGATTGGTTGGCTGGACTGTATAACAACATAGCTTGTTGGGTTCCTTGCTTCTTAAAAACAACATTCTGGGCTGGTATGTCTACGACTTAGCGAAGTGAAAGTATGAATGCCTTCTTCCATGGGTATGTGCATTCGAAGACCTCGATTAAGTAGTTCATTGAACAATATAAACGAGCACTGAGAAATAAGGTTGAGAAGGAGTACCAAGCTGACTTCAAGTCATACTCGCAGACGGTACCACGTACAACAAATTATGAAATGAAAAAATAATTTCAGTTGGTGTACACAATGTCGAAGTTTCGAGAAGTGCAAGATGAGTTCACAGGGAAGGTGTATTGTGATCTCCTAGCTACCTCGAAGGGAAGTTTGGGGACCACGTACGAAATTTTAGAGGATGTACTAATCGAATACATACGAAAGAAAAAAAAGTGGTTCGTCTCTTTTCGGAGGGATAGTAGTGAAATTGTTTGTAATTGCCACTTGTTCGAGTTTCGAGGGATAATATGCAGGCATGCAATCGCAGTCTTGATCCGTAACAATGTGACATCAATGCCAAAAAGGTATATACTACGAAGGTGGAGAAAAGATGTTAGTTAAGTGCACACAAGAGTGGCAATGAACTATGCTGGCTTAGTTACTACTCCTGCACAGTTGAGATATAACGATATGTGTCATGCTTTTTCGCAATTGGCGGACCTCACTACAGATGACGAAGGGCAATCACGTGCAATAATGGGCTGGATAAAATGCCAATATAAAGAGCTTACGCTGACTAAGTCGAGTAATGGAAGTAATGCTATGTCGCAGCCTGCTGTTCACTTACCCTCTTAGAACATTGATTCTCAAAAATATGCATGCGAGAGTGTGAGGGATCCTATATTGGTGAAGAGAAAAGGTGCACCGAAGAAACTTCGAATGAAAGGCCTGTTGGAGTCGACATCAAAGGAAAAAAAAAGGTATTTTTGTTTGTTGGCATTGTAATAGAAAAGCACCACATTTTTGAATTCCCATTTAAGTTTGATATAAATGGAGGGAAATTCGACTTCAAGCAAGGGGAACACATCGAGGGAGATACCTACTAACATCCTGGAGGTTGCACCCGAAGTTCAAGTATCTCAACTAAACTATTCCCTACCGACCACGTTTTCCTATTCACAAATGTTGATGGTTAGTATTTTCATTTCTCTATTGCAATGGATGTTTACGTTTTATTTACATTATTGCTGCATATAGGGTGATGCCGAAAATCATATGTTTACCCAACAATGCCTGTCTTCGAACGTTATGCCTCCATCGTCACTTGATATTATATTTCATTCGCAAGGTAAATAAATGTTCAAATCATTATAATTCATTCTTGTATCATTTCATTACATGTTTTAATGTTAGTTGCATACGGCAGGTCATGGAATGCCCCACTACTATCCAAATTTACCAGAACAAGGTGGCATCGGCTTGTGAAAAGGTTAAGCGTCCACCATTGACTTCGCATATAGAAATGGGAAAATTTAACATGAATGACTTAGTTGTTCCTTTTGCAGGGGTGGAAACATTATATGCAGTGGTCGAAGGGATCTCAACCAAGTTGTCGGAAGGATTGAGGGACCACTTTGATAGGATAATCATGGCTGGACCGTAGGCTGTGTTTTTATTTTTTGTAAAGCATTTTGCTTGGCAAACACTTTTTATTTTGGGATAGTTGGAAATCATTGTAATGTTTTGATATAGGGCCATGGATAGAGGTCAAAAGTGTCCATAGTAATATTTATAACTTTTCTGGTAGTGTTAATGGGTACAAATGTTGAATGCATTATTGATTCTTTTGTTGGTGTATGTTTTGTTTGCATTTATGATAGAGGGACCACTTATAATTTAATGTTTCATACAAGTATATTAATTCATGTTTCAAACTTTGGAAGATGACTTAAGCTTCTTCGCAAGGCCAGATCATCTCTATATCAATCCCTGTAAATTGATTTCTTCTCCAAGCGACTGCGTTGGATTGCAGATTGTTGTTGCAATTTAGCTAGACAGTATCGACTCTCTTGGTTTTGAATTAGCACTAATTAGAATGGATTTAGATGTTGAAACCTATTTATCTTCCTTGCTGGTAACATTTGTTGCAAAGAATTGTTCCACTTGACAGATAATTATCTACTAAAACTAGTAATGCTTGTGAGTTAAATTAGAACTCCTTTTGTTCTGTACTAGGAACAAGGTTGTGTACAGTCAAGTGTGTTATGTGAGTAATGGGATGTGAAATGCAAGAGCCATTGAATTATATTGGATACACAAACACAAGGAAAATGTTAGTTGGTCACAATTTTATTGGATGTGTAATTTGTCGATGATACCTTCACTAGTGATATCAAAATGAGTCGAACAGTACATTTACTGTTTGAAATCACAACAAAATATATAAAAATTAAAGGACAGAAACACTGAATTATCTGGGCTAGAGCACTCAACATACAAATAGGCATTTTTATTTATCTGGGCTAGAGCTACAATTGCTAACCAAACTACAGCAATGTAACAAAATTACAACCTGCAAAGCACTCAACATACAAGTAGATTGGGTCACATACTTCACAAGTCGCAAAACAATTAAAATAATTGTGACCTATTATCACAAAGCAAATATAAAGTTTCCTCTTAGTATTCGTACGTCGACAAACATAACCCAAATTAACCCATTCGAACAACGACGCCAATTAAGCCAGCCTCTTCCCTTTTGCATTCCCAAATGCACCACATTTTTCTTTACGGATTGTCACTTTCACAGCGATATGGAGCGCTTCGTCATCATTTAACCGCACTTGAGATTGGAACGTGCGGGTCATAGCTTCAATTGCTTCCATTACCATTGGGGTAGTCAAGGTAGCACTAACGCTACTACATTCACCTCGTGCTTGACCTTCTTCGTACCATACCCAAAATCCACTTTTTTTACTTCAACACTTGAATAATCTGCCTTTGTTAGAGGTCTCTTTCTCCACCTCAAAGCACTTCTGATATCCATGCTCACACAATGGGCATCGCACTTTGATAGGGCATTGGGCAAATAAGTGTGCCTTGCTTCTACAACTATGGCACACACCTGAATTCTTCCTTGGCATTCTAGGAAGCAAATCAACCAACCATCACCAATCAATCGGCAATATGAATTACATAAATAATGTATAAATTACAAAAGATGCACCACCATGACATAACAATTGGCCCAACTTGCTTGGACATTATAAACAACTACATGCAGGGAATATTGGATTTTTTGCTTCACACTTGCTCTTCCTATTTGAAGAAAATAAATTTAGATTCCATAATAGGACTCCAATAAGTCTAGATTTTGCATAACGTTATACATCAGACGAGGAATGACACGGTTACATTAACAATAACGACAAAGCACTACTTAAGGTATTATGCATTCACATTTGTCCCTTCCTATTTTTGTTTGCTATTTGTCTTTCATGCCAATCAATTAGCACTTTTTCAGAAGAACCATGTAAATGACAACAGTAAGGGAAATTAAACTAGTACTTGAATGAGAGTAGATAGTCGTGGTCGTATTTTATTTTTGGTCACCAAACTCGTTCAGCAGCAGAGAGAGTTCAGGGGTCGTCAAGTTGTTCAATACCTTTCAAAGACTAGGAAAGTGCTTGGGGATTATAGGAGAGAAACAATTCTTTTGCCTACAGCCTGTGAGGAAGAACACAGTGATGGTGGCAAATTCGGCTTAATCGAGGTCGTTCAACACCGGCTTCTAAGATGCACTCATTTGGGAGAAGACAACCTCATGACCACAAAACGTTGATAGGCTGCCGGAGATGGAGGCAAATTAGCCGATGCTCAATTGTGGATGTGAAGTGAAGAGGGGAGACAATCGCGCTTGGTCAAGTGAGGTGTAGGGTTTCAAATTGGGGATTATGGGAGAGAGAGTGAAAGACCAGGCTTAATAATTGATTGATTTTTCCCTGCTCGTTTTTTCTTTCTTTTTTCTGAGAATTAAGTGAATTTCCATGCAAGCCCTATAAAATGCCTGTAGGATCACCTCTGTACACCAAGCGCGGTTGAAAAAAAAAAAAAAGTAACGTTGTGGATAACAAGAATTTGCCAAAAAATCTTTGCAGCAAATGGGATTTTTGCATCAAAAGAGATAGAAAAAGAGGGGCTAAGCAAAAGGTCATCAGCCACCAAATGACAGTGGCAGCTTCCACTTCCATGGCAGCAACGGTCATCTTGCTCCACCGTCTACCCACCAAAACCACTGTCCACTGCTCCACATTGCCGTCTCTACCACCCCGTTTCTCCCCTTCAGCTTTGTCCACTTCCTTCATGCCCTTGCCGGGTAAAGTTCAATTTTTTTTTTCCTTCTTTTTGTTTTTTTTTTCCTGTTAATAGCACTGTGTAGGTCCAGGATAATCCTTTTATTCGACAGTGCTTTGTTATTTAATGTATGCATTTTAATTAGGCTAGTGTCTATTGCTACAATTCTACCATATGTCTTTTTCATTTTGTATTTCTTATGACAAATCTAGAGTCTTCTCAGTAAATATGATGGAGACAAATTGATTTCTTGAATACTGCCTTTATACTGGATTATGATCCTTAAGTTTCTATTTACTAATTGTAGGAATTAGTTCTATTGTTTTGACTTATGAACTATTGTACTGTTTCTTGGCATTCTCATATAAGTATCAGCAAGAACTAACAACCCAAAACCATAATTCTTTATGATTTATGAGTATTTTCGAATATTCTCTTCTATGAACTAAATTTTTTATTATGTTTTACTCGGATTTGCTAAAGGGGTTGTGGATGCTTAGAGCATGGACTTTCTTGGAAGGCTTTAGTTATGTATTATATTGCAGGAACTAATAAAATCTTGGAATTGTTAATGTGGGAGTCCAAAGGCCACATTGCTTAGGTTCTGAAACTGTGTTGTTCTGCATAAGCCTCATCACTTAGTTTTCAACCTTTTTGGGAATATCATAGCGGATGAATTGGTAGTTTTTGTTCTTGTTTCTTTAGTGCATTCATTTTTTTTTTTTTTTTTTAAATCTCTGTCAATATCAGTGAAGAACCTTGAGGTTGAGACCCGTTGAAGTGTCCATTTTTCTTGTGTATCCTGAATAAACCAGCATTTATAATTGTAATGCTTTCAGTAATGTGAAAGGGCTGGTACGTTGTCATATGGACTTGTCATTTGAAACCAATGAGACATGCCTACAATAATTATAGGGAGAATGTGGGAGTTAACGTACAAAAAGTTAGTGCTCATAACATTCGTCTTGATAGTGAGAATTACAAAAACGAATGATATTCACTGGCATTGGAGAGAAATGAAGATTACTCTCGGGATTGAGTTGTTTTGCTATGATAATTAGCTATTTCTACAAGAGTTTTCTTTGTAAGTCAAATCACAATATGTAATTTTGATTGGAGAAATTGAAATTTTAAATACTATTCCAAGTTATTTGATTACACGTAGATGTTGATTCGGTTGTCCAATGATAATTCCCAAGTCAGAGATTTTTGTGCCTTGAGTACAAATTTTGATATTTTTCAATATTTCTATGGCTATGTTGCTTAGTTTTTATTTTTAAACAGGGTCGAGGCGGTATTCTTTACTGCAGGTCAAAGCCTCATCATCAGATGAGACATCTGCGGTTGATACTAGTGAATTACTATCAGACTTAAAAGAAAAGGTAACTACACAAAATGTCATCTGCAGAACCTGTTTTTGGCTCCATGTTACGTTTGTACTGCTGAGTTATTCTTGTATTTATGTTTACCATTGTTCAGTGATTTGACTCTTCTCATTGTGTTTTGAGGTGGGATGCAGTTGAAAAAAAGTCTACGGTACTTCTCTATGGAGGAGGGGCAATTGTGGCAACTTGGTTAGCTTCCAATATTGTTGGCGCAGTTAATTCGGTTCCTTTGGTTGGTTCTTTCTCCTACGTGTCCATTTAGTGAAACAAATCGAGTTAGTTTTAGTTGTTTCTTCATTTACCAATCTGAGATATCATATTGTCCATTAAAATTTATCTCAGCTTCCAAAGATTACGGAATTGGTTGGTCTCGGATACACTGGATGGTTTGTTTACCGTTACCTACTTTTCAAGGTACGATTTCAAGGTCATTCTCTGGTGATATTTGTAAACTATTATACATAAAAAATGCTGTTTTTGTTGGGATTAATGGCCTTAAACTTTCTGCAGACTTATCGGCTTCCATAAATACAAAATGAAAACAGATATCTCTCTTGTCTCACTCATGTATCTCGAATTTGAGCGTAACATAAAAAATATATAGTTCATGTTTGACTAAGCCTGAAAGAATAGAAGTGTGTGGAAAGTAACAAAGACTCTGCTTTAAAAGAGCAAGTTTCCCAAATAAGTGACTTCTGGGAAAGCTCAAACACGTTTGATTCTTATTAGGCTTTGGCCATGTTTGGTTAAGCTTACAATTTCAGTATACCCAAATTTACTTATCCCAGTTCTGCGTCCCCCTGCCCTGCATCTGCTTGCCTTTCCCCACCCTTGTTTCACCTCTCCTGTACCCCCCCCCCCCCCCCCCCCCCCCCCCCTCTTCCCCCCCCCCCCCCCGCCCCGAACCCGCCCTCAATTGTTGCCTTAACTGGGAGCTCTCGAGTATCTTGGTCTCGTAGTAAGGCGGGGAAGGAGTTGTTGGAGGACGATAAACTTGACTTTTTAGTGTAGAAAAAGGCTGTTTGGACGAAAGATAACTAGTGGATGTATTTCACCTTGACAATTATAAGAACCCTCTATAGACAAATTGAGTTTTTGTAGTCTAAAGAATTTCTAGTGGCTAACAGTGTATTTCTATTACCAATTTCTCCACACAATGTTCCCAAGGATATTCATTCTTATTTAGTAAATGCCTCTCTTCATTGGATCCGAGTCCCATGATTTGGAAATGCATAAAATTCTCATGCTAATTCGTCATATTTTATTCTTTCAGTCAAGTAGAAAAGAACTGGCAGAAGAAATTAAGAGGTTGAAGAAGAAGATTGCTGGTACTGAGTAAATTTATGCAATATGGTGGCATATTCCTCGTATAATCATCATTCCAACGTCGGATCAAACTGATTTACATATTTTGTATAAGAGGTGGCCTATGTATTTATATTACACTTCACTTTGTTTATATTCAAAGAATATTTCAGCAATTTATTTTCACGTTTATTTGTGTTGTGTATCGTGAGCCTTCAAAAGTTCTCATGTTTCCTGTAAGAAACCTGCATTTAAAAAAAAAAAAGGTTGAACCCCAACCTTAAGGGATCCCACCGACCCTGCTCTGGGCCATCGTGGAGGAGGTAAATCGCAGGATGTGCCTCCCAGGAGTCAGGGTGGAGAGTACATAGATAGCCCAAGGCTGTTAACCCATATGGTAACTCCCGCTTGCAACAAAGCCAATTCCACCTTGCGGGGAATCGAATTCTGCACACTGCCGCGCTGAGCCCTATCCGCCCTCCCCTTTGCCACTAGAGATATGCCCTGGGTTAAAATCATAGAGAAGGAAGAAAAAGGCTCAGAAATTTTATGCTACCGAATACTTCCAACTTTAAGCTTTCAATCAATTGACAAATGGCCACTCTTAACAATTACCTTTGTTATGAACAAATGTGAGATCAATTCCATTTACGGTGACTATACTTTTACTTATCATCAACCAGGTCATTATATTTCAATTTTGTTTTGTCAATCCAATTACATTTTTATTTTATTTCCATAGAGTAATTTCACTTTGATTTAATTCCACTCGAATAATCCTACTTTTATTAATTTCAATAAACTAATTTTGTGACAGAAATTAATGACACGACAGTCGATAAATGATAATTATTACACGTAATCATTAGTCATTAGCTTGTGAAATAAACGATGACCATCATTTTTAGACTATTTTGTAATTGATCCTCATCAATCTAAGCAGTAGAAATTGGACAGAGTTATTCAATTAGAATCAAATAAAAGTATACTTATCTAATTGAATACATTGAAGTAAAATTACTCGATTTATATTAAGTGAAGTATAATTACCGTAAACGAGAATCGTCAAAAAATGTCATATACACAAGGTCCGGTAGGTGTATAAATTTTGAACTAAAAGCGTAAGCTTCAAGAACGTTCTATTATTCACATAATTAAATTTATACAAAAATTAATCAAAATTTTTTGCATTATTTTAGTTGAAAGAGATTGACGTAATGTTGATAATGTTGGAATACAGAAGCAGAATTATCTTGAAATTAATTTTTTTTAATTTTAATAAACTTATTTAAGTGGTCACTTGTATGTTATATAAAAAATAAAGGATTCAAATCTTTATCTAAATCCGATTATTAATTTTTGAATAAATTTTGAATCACGAACTTCTAACTTTTAATTGCAAGAATTTGATGGTTTAAATCTCCAAACCTTTTATGGTATTCTCCAAAGTCGAGATTATATCGGTGGATGGGCACCTTCTTTTAATCAAATCAAGAATCTAATTCTTCATATAATCATCATTCCAACATCACATCAAACTGATATACGTATTCTGTGCAAGAGGCATAAGTCCTATGTATTTCTATTACACTTCATTTTGTTTTATATTCGAAGAATATTTGAGCAATTTTATTTTCACGTATATTTATTTGTGTAATCATAAGCCTTCAAATGTTGTTCTCTTTGTAACAAGTTTCTTGTAAGAAACCTGGATTTAAAATCATAAGAAAGTAGAAAAAGGGCTCAGAATTTTTATGCTACCAAATACTTCCAATTTTTATTCAATCAATTGACAAAATGGCCACTCTAACATGTCGATGTTAACTTTAACCCTGTTTTTGTGGAAAAAAAAAATGTCGGTCAATTTCACTTACGATTTTCCACTTAGCGTCAATTAGATAATTGTATTTCAATTTTGTTTAATCAATTTAACTACACTTTATAATTTTATTTCAATTAGATAATTTCATTCAAATAAACACTCTTTGATTTGATTTCAATTACGGAAATTTTGTGCCCAATTTCACTAATAGAAATTGATAACGTGGCAATCAATAAATGATAGTTATAACATATAGTCATTAGTTGCTAGCTCGTGAAATAAATGATGATCATCATTTTTTGATTACTTCATCATCAATCCTCACCAGTCTAAATGGTGGAATTGAACGGAACTATCCAATTAAAATCATAGTTACCCAATTGAATAAAATTAAAATATTAGTTACATGATACAGTTCATGTCACTGTTTAAGAACTGTCTCTATAGGATTCAACCAAAAGCAAATAGTTCAAATAAATAACTAATTGAATTCTAACTATTTACAACAAACTAACTAATTACAGTGTGTGTGTGTGTGTGTGTGTGTAGCTTCTATCATACAGCTCGAGCTCTCTCCTCTCAAATCCCGCCATTTTCATGTCAAATTCCATTCTCTTGAACAAACCACTTCCATTTTCCGACAGCTTCAAGTTACTCTTCTCTCTTTGTGTACGTCAATCATTCTGTGACTGTATGCTGTTTCCATACATGATTATGAGGATGTGATGATCTTTATAAAAATTTCGGCTAATTTTCTGTTTTTGTTTTTACCTAAAATCAGTATTTTCTAGTATTATTTTTATTAATTTTTGGGCTTTGGAGATGAGTTTTTGCTGTTAAAATTGGGGAAAATAATAATCAAGAATCACTATCTTTACTTGTCTTCATTTGTTCTACAGGAGAAGAAAAAACCCCAACAGAAAATATGGTTAAGTTTTGGGTATTGCTTTTCTACTGTCTTGTCTCTTTGATGAGTGCTTTTACAGCCTTTCGCATTGTTGTTTCGATTCGAAACACCACTTTATCCTCGGAAGGTATTGAATCTAATTCTGGTAAGTTAAAATTTAAGTTCTTGCAGTTTTTCTCTTTTCTTGTTAATTCTTAGAATGGTATAACCTTCTATTGTGAGATAAAGCACATATTGCATATAGATAGGGGCTTTGTTGGGGCGTGAGAAGAAGACTATTTTTTCAAGGGGCTTTGTTGGGGCGTGAGAAGAAGACTATTTTTTCAAGGGGCTTTGTTGGGGCGTGAGAAGAAGACTATTTTTTCAAGGGGCTTTGTTGGGGCGTGAGAAGAAGACTATTTTTTCAAGGGGCTTTGTTGGGGCGTGAGAAGAAGACTATTTTTTCAAGGGGCTTTGTTGGGGCGTGAGAAGAAGACTATTTTTTCAAGGGGCTTTGTTGGGGCGTGAGAAGAAGACTATTTTTTCAACAATGTTGACGAGATTTTGGAAAGCAAATTGTGAAAAAGAACAGAATTCACATAAAATGCCAAGTAGAAAACGTTGAAGATAGAAGTGGAAAAGGAGTCGAACGTTGAACTGTAGGTGTAATCTATTGTTAGAAATATAATTAAAATACTAGGATTATCTGGTTTTGTAAATTTGACAGTGTAGATTTCGTAATCTTGAATCAAGATGGTTAACTTTGTCTCGCCCATTATCATGTTTAATTGCTTTTTGCTTTTCTTTTCGAAGAATTCTTTTTAGTCTGTATTGGGTACTGATAAATTATCTCTCTGGTTATTTCAGCTCCACGGGTGAATGTGTTTGGTAAACGTGGCTCATTGTATATAGAACCTTCGGATGTAAAACAGAATGGCACAGTGGGGCTTGTTAGTTTTATACCTTCAAGAAAAGAATCGGCAGGGACAATTCATTTTCATTTTCTATTCTTCTTATCTACAACTGTCTGTGCTGTATCAGCATTGTTAGCTATAGGTTACTATCTCGACAAATGGAGAGAACAGTCTCAACATGCTTGGATGGAAAATGCCATGCCAAGTCCAAAATTTTCAGAGGTTATGCATGATGTTTCTGCCTCAAGTACTTGTCATATATGTCTTGAAGACTATAATGTTGCAGATAAGCTTAGAGTTCTGCCATGCCACCACAGTAAGTCTTCCATTAATTTTATAGGATTTGTTTACTGTTATTCAGTATGAAAGCATTTCTTCCGGTACTGACACATGGCTTTGGAATTAAAACTGCTTGGGTATAATTCTTTATGCAATATGAATTTCGATTCCATATGCTTAATATTCTTCTGTTCTGTCGTTTACCCTAAGGAAAACGCATTAACTGTAGTCTTCTAATCATTCTATATGTAACTTTATTTTCTGTTGAGTGATTTTTAATCTTGGATTTTTGACAGGGTTTCATGCATATTGTGTTGATCCATGGCTGGCATTATTTCAAACAACCTGTCCTGTTTGCAGAGTTGATGTCTCACAAGTCAGAGTGACTATTGAGCGAATCAGAAGGATTGAGAATGCTACAGCTGATCTTCGGAGAAATGCTAATCGTTTGGTGAATCGCTTTTTTCTCTTCCAAGCAGGGATCTTCTTTTTCGCACAATGGGACCTCCCGTCAGAGCATAACATTTTTGTACTCAGTCTCTCCCTCATTGCAAGCTTTCGACTTGCTTATGCTTTCCCTTTAATTTCACTGGATTTACAGCATATGTATAATGAGATCGATTCAATCAAGGCTATCGATTATAGAGTTGCACGGTATTTCAGGATATGGCGCCTTTGTTTGGTGACATGTTTTATCAGTCTTGCCGTTGGTTTTGCCGTTGTCTTGCCAATTGCATTGGTGACTAAAACCTCCCCTGCTTTCTATTGTAAAATTTGTTTTGCGGTGATGCTAGGCACGTATACAATGCAATCGTGAACTTTCTGTCTAGCGAAAACAAACAAGCGATGTGGGTTTTTCTCATCCTATGAAGATGACTGGATTTTTCCGTCTTATTATCATTATCATTATTTTTATTTTTTTTTCACATTTCATACTTTTTCGTATGAGAATTAATCTGGTTCTTACTTTCTTATTTCATATATATATAAATTTTTTTTTCCAAATGAACAAAATGTTATAATATTTTGTGCGAATTAGTATAATTATGATCGATTTACTCACAAGGCTTAAGTTAAAGCATTTTTTTGGACAATTATTTTATTATAATAATGTTCATGTAGACCATTAGATATCGAACTGTAATGAAATAGATACATATTATATATAGGAATGATTTAGCAGGTTCCCTAGAAAAAATCGTATGAGAATTAATCCATTGATGTATGAGAACAATTTCTTCTTTTAAATCTATCCCCGCACTATAGATAGAGTTATTTTCTTGTTAAAAACAATGATTCATGGCATTAGCAATTGAAACTTTCGCAATTTTTTGGTATACGTTGCAGTAGTAGGAAGAAATATTTAACGTATGTTGTGACTCTTATTATAGAGAATGTGAATTCCATAATATGTCACCTTTGTTGTACTTGATGGGATGTTTAACAAAAGTAAAACTTATTTTTATATCATATAATTGTGACCAACACGCGAGATGCGACAAACAATTGTGACTCTGACTACTGCTATCTCAAACAATTTCAACAATTTTGCGACTGTTGTTCATCAAATGATTGCCAATTTATGACCATTGTGACATTTGACGAAAAAGTAATTTGTTCTTGTTATCATGTGGCAAGTTGGGGTTCACGTGGAAGGTGACGATGGCACGCAGTAGTGAGGGATTGGTTGAGGTTGGGTTGCATACTTCAGTGTTATTTTTTTTTTTTTAAGTAGTGTTTTATGTGAAAAAATGTGACTTTACAATTTTATCCTATTATAACTGGTCTAATAGGGTTGTTCTCAAGCAAGAGTTTAATGAATTTTAAATGATTATAAATTCTAATGAATTTGGTGGATTTAAATAGATCCTTACAAATTTCACAAGAATCTCATTAAATATAGTGAAATTTCAAAAGATTTACTTATTTGTATTTTTAAACTTGAAATCCATTCAAATCTTTTAAAATCATTCTATTAATGAAATCTTTATAAATCCACTAATTATTGAGGATACTTAAATTTTAAAAGATTTCATTAAAATTTCAATTGGGGACACCTAAATTTTAATGAATTTAATTAAAATTCAATAAAATCTCAATTTAAGATACGTAAGTTTATAATGACTTTTAAACTCCATTGCAATCTCAATTGAACACATCTCCCTAAATTTGGTCGAAATACATTTTTCAGGTCAACTAAAGATCAAATTCATCCATTTATCTTTGTTTTCTAATAAAATGAAATGTTTGAAATTGTGAATGGCACGAAGTGAATGATGAAATAAAATTCTGCAAAAAAGAGAATGATTTGGGACTGCACCTCTCTCTCTCAATGTATTAATCACTTGATTGGGGTCCATTTAAAAATGACTGGATTCGAATCGAAAAAAGGAAAAGGCCCTTATACAGGGGCCCTGTAATACGGGGGGTCGAGCTGCCCCTGTGATAGGTTAGGGGCCTGTACGTGAAGTAGGTCCCAAAAAGGAAAAAAAATCCTGTAAAGCCCAATTAGAAGTCACGTATAGGAACTATTACCCATGTTCATATCTTCTTCCGTTATTCATGGAGGGAAGTGAGACAAGTGGCTAAAATTTTCTTCCTCGATATTACGCTAAAAATTGGGAGAGACTCAAAAAGGGGGGATATATTCATGACCACTTGGCACCAGTTTATCTTGTGTTGCAGTGATTTCTACTCAAATTCTTCATCAACGAAATTGGAAGGTATTATCGGATTTTATTACTGTAAAAGCAGGCTTTATATGTTGAAATCACACTAGATCTAATTGTTGAATGATTTAATTTCAATTCAACTCATAATTTATTTATTTTCCAAAATTGTTGTTTCTTGATGGTAATCTTCCTCTTATGGTTTTTCGACAAAATTCCTCTTGAATTTTTCATTCGGTTGTATACGGGTTTCTCCTTTCCTTAAAAAGTGGCTGCCCTTCGAAATACCCAGGACCAAAATCCTGTGGGGGCAGTTTCCCACACTAGACCCCAGGTGTCTCCGTCCCTGCATTTATATGAAATTGTTGACACCCTAAAAGTAAAGCCCAATTCGAATAGCCCAAAGAATGAAGCCCAACTCGGCAATTCAGGATGAAGGCCCAAATAGGGTTATTAATGAATGCAGTGAAAGCCCACGAACGCGGTAACACCATCGCCCAAACTTACAAGACGCCCAAGATTTGAGTAAATGAAGTGCCTTGCAGTCGCCCAAAGTTATAACCCCGTTCTCGCCCAAACCTTCGAATCGCCCAGGATCTTAGCAAACATAAGTTATTATGGTTATCCAAAAGTACAGTTATCGAAGCAGTTATTGGGTAATCTTATCACGTTCCGCGATTCAAGAAGTTCAGTTGAAGACGGTTGAACGACAAAGAGTAGTGATAACATTTAGAGACGGCAGTTCCACGATAAGTTGGCCACCATGAAGAAAGTGGGCAGTTATAAAGTAATTGAGCTGTTTCTAAGTGGTTGATCACAAAGAAAGCATCAGGGGAATATAAAAGGGAGAAAAGACATAGAGCAAAAGACTCCGAATCAAACACTCTCAAACAGAGAATATATAATTTCAATTTCTTAGTTTAAACTTAAAATATTTTTTTCAGTACTCGTGTGCTTGCGCCCCTTGGAGGCATTTCTGTTTAACTTCCAATTGTAAAGTCATTGCCAATAAAACACTTCTTTTTGGGACTTTGTCTCAAGACATTTGTCCCTTACACAATCGTCTGACCCCTTTTAAATTGTTAGCGACTACCCGCGCAAAACAATTTAACACGCCCAGTGGGACCTTGGTGTTTGGTGTTGAAGATACAAAAGAAAAAACAAATATGCCTCAGAAATCTGATAAGGAAGCAGCAAGTCAGGGAAGAGTCCAGTCTATGATCGAGCGATATGAGGAGTAGCATAGCTCTCCACGAACAGATGGAAAGAATCAGAGCAATCATAGTCGTTACGAACCAATGACAGAGTTGAGTCCTCGAACCATGCGTGCATTATTCGGAGAATTCACACAAGATGTTGTTGAACAGGTAAATCTACGAAATATTCATAATATGGAAAGATTTACCCAAAATGGGAATGCACATTATGACAACATGGCCAAACAACTGAACACTTTGAACGAAATAATGAATAAGTTAGTAGGCCAAATTTGTCAGCCAGTTGTGTCTCTTACAAAACACTTTCAAACTGGGACAATTGTGGGACATAATCCCCCAGTCCTAAGTTTAAATCAAGGGGTAGAACCACCTTTTGATTCCTCTACTTCAAACCAAGGGAGTGGTGCAATACCAAATCAGAATAGTGGCATTGGTACGTCTAACTTGGGGGGATAATCCAAATGTAAGAGATAATATCCTAAATAATGGGCAGAATACCCCACGTGTTAATGAGAGAATAAATGTTCAGGCTAATGGTAACAATGGCCCAAATCATGGTAACTTTGTTGCCAATCAAGGACCAAACATCAAGCCTCAAGCAAATCAACCGATCAACCAACCTGTAGGAATTCCATATGACCCCAACATTATGTTGAGGAATCAGATTATGGAAATCGTATAGGACCAGATGGCTTTTGGAGTACGTCCTATCATTAGGCCGACTTACACAAAGCCATATCCTGATTGGGTAGATCAAGCACAGCCATGGCCTAGAGAGTATAAAGTGCCAGAATTCTCACTGTTTACCGGTTTAGGAGAGGTGTCTACTCTAGAACACATAGGGCGATTCACACTGCAAAGTGGTGACGTAACTAATTACCATAAAATGAGGCTGTTCCCTAGTTCATTAACGGAGTAGCCTTCTCCTGGTTCATCAATTTGCCAGCAAACTCTGCACGCTCAGTTTTATAAGACTGAGTCTGAAGTTACTTTGGCCGATTTGGCGAATTTACGTCAAATGTCAAACGAATGGGCAGAAGGTTTCCTTCAAAGGTTCAAAATAGCAAGAAGTAAATATTTTGTACCTTTTCCTGAAAAGGAGTTTGTCAAAATCGCTCAAGGTTGTCTAAGTTTTGATCTAAAAAGAAGTTCCAAGACAAGGAATTTCCTGATCTTTTCCAATTGAGCGCGAACGTGATTAGGTATGAACGATTAATAAGAGAGGAAGAACAAATGAAAAATTCTAGCAAAGGGACTTATTATAGAGACCCAAATTTTGATGTTCATACCATTAACGACGAGTATTACGATCAAACCGAAATGTGTTTGGCTGAATTAGTTAAAGGAGACACATATACTTGTCCTATAATGGCTAAACTTAGACCGTCAGGCAAGGATGAGCTTATAAAAGATGAAAACATAAAGGTTAGAACGTTCTCGTTCGATGTAACCAAAACTGACCTTATAGTTGATAAATTATATAAGGATAAGCAGATAAAGCTGAGCGATGAGCAAAAATTGCCAAGCCCTGAGCAAATTAAGGGTAAAAAATATTGTAAGTGGCATAATGCATGGTCACATTTGACTAACAACTGTTTGGTTTTTCGCCATGTGTTACAGGATGCCATTGAATCAAGACGAATTACATTTGAGGATAAAAGGAAGATGGCAATAGATGAAAATCCTTTTCCACAGCCACTTGGGATGAACATGGTGACATCTGGTTTCAAAAACAAATTGCCAAAATTCAAGTTGGTTATAGATGATGGAGAAGAAGACCCTGGACCACATTCCAGTGTCTTTGAACATATCAAAGGGAAGGAGCTCAAAAAGGATGAAGATGTCCTACGTGCAAGATGCAAAAAAGAAGTGAGTGCAAATGCAGAGAAATCAGGATATGGCCGCATCACCATCGCCCTAATTTTTTCCCAAACGCTCAGTCTGGTAGAAGGCAGGGTACATCGTTCTATAAGGGACCGCCTTTTGAGAGGCAGTTCGGGCCAGTAAATAATGGGAGAACA